TGCAATATAGCACTGAAGAAACACACATCATTCTTCTAGTTCCTGAATGCTTCCTGCCCCCCACCCCACTACCATGATCCAGTTCTACCTTACAAATCCGGCTAGACCGGAGTGCACACATTGGTACAAATAAGACCTCTTAACACATGGAATTCAGGACAGATAAAACCCTCAGAAACAGGAGTGGCAATAGCAATACCAGGAGTGTATGGGTATGGTGGGCTTGGGATGGGAACGGGGGAGTTTGGGGGAACCCATACAAGGTTGGATATATAGCCCACCCTCCAGAGGGATGAATAACAGAGATTCGGGTGAATGGAAACAACGGACAGCATAAGACACACACAAAAACAAAAATAATTTATAATTGATCAAGGATTCACAAGGATGGGAGGGGAAAAAAGAGGAACTGATACCAAGGACTCAAGTAGAAAGAAAATGTTTTAGAAATGTTGATGAAACGTATGTACAAGTGTGCTTAATACAATTGAATTAGGGATTGTCATAAGAATTGTAAGAGCCACCCAATAAAATGATTAATAAAAAAAATCCACAATGTTTAGAAACTGATTGTGTTAATAATTGTATAATTCTGCTTGACATGATTGAACTATGGACTGATATGCTATATGTATTACCTCCCAATTAATAATTAATTAAAAAAAGGTTTACAGCATGGGAAACCATATGGGGCAGCCTATTCAGTGCTCTAGGATCACTACCACCATGGAATTGGCTCTACAGCATTGGGTTTTGTTTTTATTTTTTGGTGTGTTTGTTTTCTTTTTTCCCAAACTAAGATAGACAAGGAAAAAAAGTGTGGTGGTCTTTTGAAATATCAGCCAATGAAAACCCCTATGGGTCACAATAGTCTAATCTGCAACCAATCATGGGAAAGGCTTATTCTATTGTCACCAGGCGCCAGGGCCACCTGGAGGGCAGCTATCAACATTAGCTAGGACTTCAGTGTAAAAGATAGTTTCAATTCCTTGTCTGACCCGATCCCCTTCATTTCATGAGATGAGTTTATAGAAAAAAAAATTTTTTTTAAACAGGCTATGGGAAGAGAAGTGATTTTCCCAGGGTCACACAGCATATTAGCTGCAGGGCCAGGACTAGACCTTCCATTACTTACTGACTTCTAAATTGGGCTGTATTTCAGGAAAACAGAAAGCACAAGACAATTCCAGGATAAATAAGGAAACGTCCTCAGTGCCCCAGGCTTCTCTTTCCTAGACTTTACCACTTGCACTGTCAACATCTGTTTGTGTGCACACAGCATGGCTTTTCCATTAGGTCGCCTGAGAACAGGGGAGGAGGCAGTGGGCTGGGGGTTCAGTTGCGAAGCCCATTCGTATGGAAGCCCCCAAGGAGTTCTCAGGAGACAGGCAGAAGCTACGCAGACATGTGGAAGAGAAAGCAGAAAGCTTCCTAGCAGCTCGCAGCCGCCTGAGGCAGAGCAGAGCAGACAGGTCACTGCACAGTGGTGCGTGCAGAACCGCTTTGGTAAGATAAGCATCAATCAAATCTTCTCTCTCTTTTGTGACAGTCACATAAATGATAGAGCTGGGAGCTGCCTCCGTGACGAGCCATACAGATGAAGGCCCAGGGTCCATCTGGGAAGTTATCCCTGGTCCTCCACTGGACAAAGAAGGAAATGCTCGGCGTCAGTGATTTGTTTAAGGCAGGTTGAGGGCTGGTATGAAAAGCAAGTAACTTTTTCAATCTAACAGCAGAAATAAGTACCTGAAAAGAAGGCAGTTTGGGCCAGAAATGAAGGTCAGAGGAACAGAAAGTTGTAAACTGCAGTAAGAAGAATGTATTGAAAAAGAAAATGGATGAGTTTCTCTTCATGGAAGGACTGAGTCCAAGAGACCTGGACTCTCTTGGAGGCTTGCACTGTCTTGCTGTCTGGCTCTCTCAACAGACAGGCGATGTTAGGGAAATCATGCTCTGGACCTCAGTCTTCTTATCTAGTAATGCCCAGAAAAACGGTTGTATGGATTAAAATCACTAGGTTGAAAACAAAAAGCAAACTCCAGACTCACTGCCAACTAGTCGATTCCAACTCAGCAACCTTACAGGGCAAAGCGGAATTGTCTCTGTGCATTTCCAAGACTGCGACTCTTTAAGGGAGTAAAAGTCTCTTATCACAGGTGGGCTGGTGGTTTTGAACTTCTGGCCTTACAATGAGCTGCCCAACAGGTCATCACAACACCAGTAGAGCTCCTAGAAAAGCCTCTTTTAAATTTGTATGCATGTATGCTTTAGGTTCTCTTCCAGCAAAGTCATTCCGGGAAGCGGAAAGAGCGTGAGGCTTTGAATCAAACAAATGGGACTTCATTCTCAGCTTATTACTTATTAGCTGTGAGACTTTGGCAAGACATTTTACATGACGAAGAGTTTCCCCATCTGTAACACAAACTTTGTTGGATAGATTACAGGTAAAGAAGGAAACCGTCTAGCTTACTATATGACGTAGAACAGAAACTCAGGAAATACAATTCATTGCCTTTCTATTAGGAACATTTATCTATGGGGTCTGTGATCTGAGGGAGTTCAGCAAATGTGGACTTCACGTTGGGATATACACCACTTCCCTAAAGCCACCCTCCCCCATCTTTTCTGTCATCCTTCCTTTAGACCAGTGGTTCGCAACTTTCCTAATGCCAGAACCCTTTAGTACAGTTCCTCGTGGTGTGGTGACCCCCAACCATAAAATTATTTTTGTTGCTACTTCATAACTGTAATGTTACTGCTGTTATGAATCATAATGTAAATATCTGATATGCAGGATGTATTTTCATTGTTACAGATTGAACATAATTAAAGCATAGTGATTATTCACAAAAACAATATGTAATTATATATTGTGAAATATTTATTTCTAATGACAAATAAATGGAAATGTGTCTTGAAGCATGGTGTAGCATGGATAACAGTCTTCGCGCCGGGTACTCATATGTGGGCGTATCTGCATTTGGGTGGACCGTCTGGAGATGGACAGAGGAGCGGTGTCGCGGTTCCTAAGACCATCGGAAATATGTGTTTTCCCACAGGTTGAGGACTGCTGCTTTAGACTATTCCCTTCTGTCAACTCACCACCCCCAACCCCCACACTGCGCACCTCCTCACTGCTTTCCCAGGTCTCTTAAAGCCACAGAAATGGTACCATAATAGCCACCATTTATTTGAGCACCCACTGAGAGCCAAGCACTCAACAAAATGCTTCCAATGAATTCTCTCTTGTACACAACAGATGTTTGATAGATGTCCATTTCCTTCTTTCTGTATTTTAGAAAGAGATGGCCATGGGGGTGACCTGAGGCAGAAAGAAGCACATCTGCTTAATAACATCAGTGACCTTTCTCTTTATGCAGTGCCTTACAGTTCACCAAGCTTTTGACCCACGTTGCCTACCTGCTTCTCTCCATACGTCTTGGGGGCGGAGGAGAAAAATAAGAAGGAGCACTAACATAGTTCCAACAAGGTTGATCCATTCAAGCAGCATACCCTGCGCACCTGCTCTGTGCTGGGCCCTGTGGAGGACTCTGGGAAGACGGACAAGAACCCTGAGCTCAGGCTCTAGAGAAGAAAACTGCTTAACCATTTTCTCTATAGGTTACTGATGCCTCCCTTCACATCATCCTTAAGAAACTTTCAGCTTTGCCTTTTCCCAATGCTCTTTACTCGGGCAGAAACATACTTCCCCCTGCTTCTAACTGAAGCCATTGAACCCACCCACTCTTCCAATATAGCTCTTCGAACTCACGCGTGCTAGGCCTTCTCACCACCATACACCGGACTTCTCGTGACTGCCATTGTCCTCCAGGGTGCGGAGAGCAGGACCCGAGGCATCACCTACGCCTACAACATTCACCTCTTTCCACTGGGTCTCCTGGAAGCTGTGAGGGAAGGTGGGCTCATTCTCCCAAGCTCCTCCACATCGCTACTAGCTTCCAGAGGTTTCAGTCCTGCCTCCCCAAAGTCCCTTCCCATACTTGGGCTCCAAAACGCAGACTTGGGGTGAATACATTTTCTACGCACAAATGAGCTTCAGGTCCTTGATTCCAGGGAGCAAGGTAATGGAGACCTGTGCCTGGGCACCCACGGAATCCACGCTGGCCCCATTATCTTCCCACCTGCACACCACAACCCCCACTTGACCCCCGGGGCGCCCTCCACCCTAAACTTTTAAGTTCGCTAACTATTCCTCTACTCCTGGCTCTCAGACCCCTACTCCATCCAGTGCCTTCTACCCCTGGACAAAACCTAGGCGCTCCGGTTCCCACCCAAAGCCACAGCCCTCTCCCTCTTAGCAGCTTTCCCCGCCCCCTTCCTTGGCAGTCAGGGTAGACTCAGCCTCTACTCCCACCTTCCCATTCTCCCCACCCCTTACCCCTATCCACCGTCACCCACATCCCACCCTCATCACCAGCACTCCACACTTTTTCTCCCCCAGATCCCCAGTCCCACCGCTCTCCCACCGCTTTACCTTCTCCTGCCCAGATACCTTACTGCCACCCCGCGCCCCTTCTTCCCCTCGGCGCCTCCGGCCCACCCAGTCCCGTGCCCTCAGCTCCTCACCTCCACGCCCCTCCCCTCAAACCTCACCCCTCCGCAGCACCTACAGCCCCCCAGGCTGCTGGGGACCCCCTTTCGCACTGCCCCCTGAGCTCCCTCCTTAACGCTTCTGCTCCCAACGCCCCCCATCCTGGGACACCCCTCAACGAATCCCCACTGCCCACTGCCCGCCAGTGTCCCCCAGCCTTCCCCACAACCCGGCGACCTCTTTTTGCAACTGACTTCCTCTGCTCCCTGTCTTTGGGTGCTCCTCAGAGGTCCCCACGATCCGGGGAGACCTCACCCCAGAGCCCTCCGGCCCCCAGCAGCCTCCGCAACCCCTTCCCGTGGTTGTCCGCGCCGCTGCTCCTCGGCGCTCAGGCTCCTGGCTCCCATCGGTCCGCGCTGCTCCCCGGTACGGGGGCCGCGCCCCTTACCTTGGGCTCAGGCTGCGGGACCAGGAACGGCTTGCGGGCTGCTCCGCCGGACAGACAGCGGACCTGCGGGAGCCGGCGGGAGCGCAGCCGGGCACAGTGGGCAGGGCAGTGCCGGTCCGCTGGGTCCGCACCGCGGTGGCTCGGAGCTGAGGCTCTTACTCCAGCTCCGCCAGACTCCAGCCCAGTCCAGTCCCCGCCCAGAGGTGGGGTCTTAGTAGCTCCGCCCCCGGGTCGCTGCGCTGGGCAGGTGAAGGGGTTCGAACCGAGGTTGACTCCCTTGGGGGCCTCAAGCTTCCTGACATCTGGGCGACTATCATGATTGATCTTAATTATCACGCCTCATTCCATAAACTGAGCTCACCTGGGGGATTAGAGCCCTGTGGCGATCACTGGGATGTGGTGAACACCGAGCTCTGCTGTTTGCAAAGCACTTTCTGTCCTCACAACAGCCCGAGGAGGGAGGCAGAGCATGGAAGTCACTGAGGCACAAACCTAAGGAGTATTCTCTGTGCTGTGCATGCTTGCCACACAGCCCCACCAGCCCCGGTCAGTCCACCTGCTTAACACTTCCTTTCCCTTCCTGTTTCGAGCGCTGGGCCTCTTGTCCAGTCCCACCATTTCTTGCCTGGCCTATTGCAGTAACATCTTAATACTCTTTTGCAATCGATCCTCTACCCCAGCAAACTGAGCATGCCATTGTAGATGCTACCATGTTCCCAACCTTGTTTAAACGTCCAGGATCTTCAGGAGAAAGTTCTAACCCTTGGTGACTTAATCACACCTTGCCAAGCTTTCCATCCTCCTCCATCTTTTTTTTTCTCAAATCATTTTGTTAGGGGCTCATACAACTCTTATCACAATCCATACATACATCAATTGTG